GTAGTGAATATTAAATGCAGTTTTTAATACTTATTCTAATTACATTGTTAGATTTACATGCGACTACCCAGCTTAGATATTATCCTATTTTTCAACACCTTATAAATTAGTTTAATTCTTATACCTAATTATATATCTTAATTTTTTAGTTACCTTAATATATTTTCATATTAACGTACATATTTTTAATACTAATTGAATATTTCGTTTCTTCATTTAAAAAATAAAATAATTCGTTTTAAATTCACTGTCATAATTGATCATATTGAGAGTTTTTGTTTTTGTTTTTCTTTTTTCATTTTTCATTTTTCATTTTGTTTGTTACAATTTTAATCAGTCAATTAAAGATGATTATATTGGACCAATAGGAAGGACCACTGTATATTTCTAAAATTTATATAATTTTCACGTTACTACAATTATTTAATTATGATGAGTTGTTGAGTTGCTCATTATACTATAGTAGTGTTGCTTGGGTAGCTGTTAGAGAATATAAATTAAACTAAATTAAATACATATGTATAAATTATATTATATTTTCGTTTATGTATTATGGAACAGTTATTTCACAAATTCTGCTTTCATAAAAAGATAAATATCGTAATATTAGTAGAAAGAATAGATAGAGACTTTGTGCATGATTTGGGTATTCTATTGCAATTATTTGTACAATTGAATACCCTTGTTGTACTACCAGTGCATCAGTCTAATTTGATCAAGAATACGCTGTTTAAAAAATGTGCCAAGCATACCAAAAACAGTCGAAATAGCTGCTATACCCATCATGGCCTGCATGATACAATGAACTCCTGACAAGTCATCTGCGGATTGCCTAGATCTATGCCTTTGCCTATAATGACGTCTATCATGTTCATGCAATCTTTGCAATTGCTGCAATTCCTCATCGAAATGTGGGATCACTGCTAAATTGACAACCTCAGTTTTAGCAAGTATCTCCTCATTTGCGATAGTATCGAAGTTTCTTTCAATGAAACCGTTCTTATTCACGTCATTGTTATTTGATTGTTCATGATTTAGTTCTCTCTGACGGGAGCGTTCGTCAAGCATGGTATTGTCGCGACTAAAATCGATATCTGTATTTTTCGATTTTGTAGCAGTTGAATAGTCTGCTAAATTAACTTTTGTGAGGAAATGTAAATTGGTTGTCTCTGAATGATCTAAATATATTTCAGCTAAAGAACGACTGTTCGTTTCTGTTGTCGTTGGTATATCTTTTATTCGAAATTGTTTAAATTGATTTTTCTTTATTCCTAACACTTCAGAAAGTGGTTTATTTATCATAGGAAGTATTGTATCAGTAGGCCTGATAATGAACGAGCCAGTAGTGGGAATTACTTCTGAAAATTGTGGAATAGGTTCTAAATTTTGTTCATTGGTCTTTACTTGCACATTTCTCGAAAAATCGGATTTCTCAATATTTTCTTCTTCGCCTGAATCACCTAAATTCATTGGCTCAGAATCAATTGTTTCGTTGTCTGTAGAATTAAGGCCTGCATTCTTTTCAGTATTTCCAACTGTGTTATTGTCAAAGTTAACATTTTTTTGTTGAAATTTATTTGTTAGATTGCGAATAGGCTCATATTTAGAGTTTTCGGAGTCGCCGCGGTAAAGCAGTGCAACCTTGCCATCTGGTGTTAATACAGGTGTTATTTTAGGATGAGAAGATGCTAATCGGTGACTACTTTCCGGATCTGGAGATAACGCATCAAAGTCGGTAAATGTCATTTTTGGTTTTTTACCAACATTTTCCTGATCATTGTAACTATTCTCATTTGGTTGATAGACTATACCTACTTTTCCTAAAGGTGTTGAAATTATTTTAATAGCGTCATTTGTATTTTTCCGAAAATATCTACTATTTGACTTGCGTTTATTATTAAAAAAGTTTTTAGAATTTTCATCATTATCAGTATCATAATCGCCATAACTTCTATCTGTATCAATATCATAATCTTCATCATCGTTAGCAAAATTGCCGCTGCTTTCCCGCGTGTCAACTAAGTCCCTATTTGCATTCTCAGTTATAAATTTTTGTTGATTTTTAATATTTTTTTCGTTATTATCTGCTCTAAATTGATTATAATTGTTTTTTTCTTTTTCATTTTCATTAAAATTTTTCTCAAAATTTGGTTTAATTATAGGATAATCAGTTGTTTTCTCGATAGTTACAGTTAATTGTTCATCATCTTCGTCATATCCCATATCTTCCTCAACTTTATGAGATTCAAATATTAAACTTTTTGCTTCTGGAAGTGACTCGTAGTATTTATTTTGTGTTCCTGTATTTCCGAATTTTTCATTGTCATAGTCATTATAAAAATCTGTACTTGGATTTAGTTGCATTCTTTCTGATTCATAATCATCACCGCCCAACTTTAAATTTATATCAGTTTTACTTTCATTACTTTCATTACTTTCTTTCAATTGTGATTCATTTGTGCCAGTGTTTTCCTGTAATATCGATTCTTCATATTTGGTAGTAATATGTTGTTTATCATTGTTTCTACTTATTCTATGGTTACTAAAATTATTTGTATTATATAAATTATTTTGCCCTAAGTTAACATCTTCGCTACTGCTTAGCATTTGGGTAGTCGCATCTTTCAGTCAGTAGCATTTTTTTGTACATCCACATTTACGTACAATGTCCAAATTCTTTATATACTTTTTATTATTGTTACATATCATGCGAACCTGAAATTATATTTCATTTTAGTTTTAGATTAGAGTTGCAGAAGTTCTACATAAATATATACTTTTCTTCTTCGCACAATTTTAGCTGCACAACACTGATTCCCACACCCACCAACACATTTTGCATACTTTAGAGGTTGTCTTGACCGGCAATCATTTTCTGTGTAATATTCTCGAACCTGTTCTTTACGGCAAGAAGCTGGAATATTTTTATTAAAAACTAAATTATAACGCCCATTTCTATAATAAAAGCAATATATTGTAATTGAAGGAAATATTTACCAGTTGCCACAAGAGTCTCTGTTACATCTTCACCTTGCTCACAGTAACGACCTTTATGGCCCTGCCTACATTTGCACTGATAACCATCTCGCGACTGCATATTTGGAACGCAACGACTTCCCTTACGGCATTTATTATTTTCGCACGCGTCCACCTATTAAATGAAAACATACATATATTAATTATTAAATTCTTTAATAATTTTAGTGTTTCAGTAGTAGCTATACTTCTTCTTTAATATGCGGAGTTTCATCCATGAAATCTTGTTGTTCCTCTTCAGTATTTTCGCCTTCAAGTAGGGCACAACCAGGGGTTATTTTTTGTTGCCTTGCAGCATTTCCAAAATCTACTAATTTGTGATTAATCCAGACCTCTTTCATACATCCTTTAAAACTAGTAAGATTTCTTATTTGCCAGTTTTTAAACGCCTGTTGACCAATTTCTAAAGGAATTCCTCCCAAAAATAATGGTGTTGATAACTTTAAATAGTCATTTTTCCCTTCATTAATAATAGAACGAGCTAATCCTCGATTAACACGAAGTGTGAAGTTTTTCTTTATAGCTAAAAGTTCAACACAGTGATATTTTCCATCAGCTACCATTTCAAAACTATACATTGTTGACACTGGATAGTTTCCAACATCATAGCTAATTCGTATTCTACCATTAAATAACTCTACCGCTAAATGCGCGTCCTCACCATCATACATCAATATACCATTTTGTTCCGTGCTACTAAAAATAATAGTAACATTAGCATCAGGTTTAGTACGTAAAGGTTCCATTTCAACAAAGGAATTGTTGTGTACGAAACTTATACTTGTTAGATATTCACACCATTTTCCTGTATAACCAGGATGACATTTACAGAGATATTCTGAACCTGAGGGAACTGGTTGGAAGCAAACACCATGCTTACACTCATGGTTCTGACAAGGTGATGTTTGTGGATACATCATTGAAACCATGTTATGTCCTTCACAATATTTTCCGGTGAAGTCATCAGGACACTTACATACATAATCATTAATACCATCAATACATGTACCACCATTTCGGCATATATGATTTTGACAATCATCGATATTATCCGTACAGTTATCGCCGCGGAAACCGGCTGTACATTCACAAGTGTAATGGGTAAAGTGATCTAGACATTTAGCCCCATTAGTACACGGGTTGAATTCTTTGCTGCAGAAATTAATTTTTGTGTCACAGAATTCACCTAAAATATGAATGGAATATTTTACTTGTAATTACACATACGAAAACATGATTTAAGTATCCTACCAGAAAATCCAGGTTGACATTCGCATCTATATGACTCCACTCCATCAATGCAAGTGGCATTATTTTGACATTTTACTTCCCCTAGGCAATCATCTATATTTGTCTCACAACGAACGCCTGTATAACCAGGTACACACTGACAACTGAATCTGCCTTCTTCCAATACAGTACAAGTTGCATTATTACGACAAGGATTCCCATAACAAGCGTCAATCATAAACTCACAGTGCCTGCCGTGATAGCCAGGCTGACATAGACATTGGTAGTCTCGTTGTGGTAACGGCAAACACTGACCATTGTTATTGCAAGGATGTGTATAACAAGCATCACACTTTGCTAATATATCACTGCTTACTTTTGATTTACATA